CCGTCAAGAACCGCAGAAACCAGAGGAGAACATATTGGGAGATTGTGCATTCTTGACACCCCGACCATGGCTTGAGATTTTGTATGAATTTTCTGAAAAAGATGGTTTCTTCAGGAGCGTCTTGCTGCTACGCCCATGGTTACCATAAAGAAGGCCTCACTTTTTGCTGATGTGTTGCACTTGTCCAAACTTACAGACTGACCATGTATTTCCTTGCCTTTGACAAAGATGAGCCCCTATTTGTCAGCCCACACGTCCTAGCTCATGTCGTTCGGGGCAGGAGCCTCGGGACGATCGCAGGGAAATCATCAACCCTATGGCCGATGGAAGGTGCTTCTGGAGCTGCGTGTACCTTCAACTGACAACTCGGTCAGCCCGGTTGGACTGGCCCTCACAGAAGAGAAACACTCAGGGCTTTGCAAGTGCTGATCGTGCGCGCGTCGAGAAGGAACACGTCTACCGGTTTGTAAAGGGTACTCTGCATAGCCGGATTCATGATCCAGATCCAGAGAGCCTTGCAAGAGTGTTTGGTAGTGCACCCCTCTTATGTCATATGGTGTCATAGTATCCGATGTTATTGTTTTTGGAAGTGCAAGTTTAAATGCATCTCAGGATATCTTACAAATGGAGTCAGATTTTCAGCCGCTTCGAAGCGTACGAGATGCCGCCAGAAGCGGACATCAAGTCTGTTCTTGAGCTCTATAAGCTCAAACTTCAGGTTGTCGGGAAAAGTGGTGATTGTTTGCAAGAAGAAGGAGATCCATCTCATCAAGTCATGATCTTATCCAACGATCTTTGACAGCAGTATGGACACCACGTCAAATATACAAGTGCACTTTCTTTTTTTCTTAAAGCTCGAGCGCTTCTTTTAAGGAGTGTTCCCTTGATGGAGCCAGTCAAGCAGCCAGCCATTTCAGATTTGTATGGGTTGACAACCCTTCACATGATGATGCTGCTAATGACGTTGTCCAGGCACGGGATTGGGGAATTGCTTCTTCACTGCGGGAGGGGCACATGACATGGGACTAGCTGCGCAGGTAAAGGCACGCTTTCCTGATCTACTCAGCGTTGAGAACGATGGAGCTACATACACCTACAAGAACCTGTTCAAAATCAAGTTCAATGTGCCGGGTGATGTGACTTCTTTGCACATGAGTGCTACCATTGCAGATGCCTACATGCGTGCCGAACAGCGTGAGTTTGGCAAGATGGAAGGTTTGAAAAAGATTCTCATGTCAACAATGAGTCGCAGTTGTTTTTTGCTTTACCGTATCCTCAGAGTTACCTGTGTGATAGTAGGCTGTGTAGGCATGATTGTGGACATATGTTCTAAGAGTTGCGGCCGACTGAGGAAAGATCTATGTGAAAAATGCGAGCTTTTTGGTATCTCCAAGATGGGTAATGTGCCTGAGCTGCGAGACCGTCTCTTTCTACATTTCCTGCAGAATGCTACAGAAGAGAACCTGTTGGGATTACCAGCTTATCAAGCCGAAGCAGATGCTCTCCCTCATGAGTCTGATGGTGCAGCTGGCATTGAAGACTCAGGGAAAGATGCACATGTGCCTCTTAGTGAGACCAAAGAAGATGCAGCCGTCCCTGAAGCACCAGAGAAAGCTCTTTCTGGAAAGCCAGAGACACCGCGTGGATCCGGATTTCCGATCAGCCCTGAGACCGATATGCCAGCAACAGAGGCTCTCTTAAAACACGTGTTTCCAAATAGCAATATATACTGGATGATACAATATATTCATGGCTTTGGAGGTAAACATTCAATTGTCGACTGCTTTGTTTGGACCACAACTCCTAGCTCACATGCGCAGGTGGCTCAGAAGTTCCCACACATCAAAGTCAACAAGTTCAGTTGCAGGGTGTCAATTCACGGGTTCACGAAGATATTCAAAGGCCAGCACAGGACAGTTTTGCAACATGCTGAGCTTGCCGATGTTTACTATCAAGCTGGTTCCCGCTATTGGACTGAACTTTCTGCTATGTCCAAGACTTTAGATATGTATTTGCAAGCGTTTTCTTTTATTTTGGGTGATGGCCAGGTTGTTTGATACGCTCCATGCCGGAGTTGTGATTCAAACTGTGGAGATAAGGAATGATCTGAAGCAACGTGCTAGTGACTTCGGACTGGCAAAGAGTGGTAACACTGATGCACTCAAGACGCGAATCATCGATCATTGGCTTAGCTATATAATGTGCACAGAGAGTCAACTCATCAAGTACATCAAGGACCAAACTGCTGATGCGCCTGCCGATCCATCTCCAGCAGTTCCTAATGGTGGAAACCCAGTGAGAAAGGATACTGATGCTGCTCCTGGAAAGAGTGCTCCAGAAACTGCGCACGAAGGGAGTGGTGGCGGCAACAATGCATCAAGCAGCACGCCCTCTAACTCCTTACTGCTGTTTGGCCGCCGAAGCTTTGCCATGACCAACGCAGAAGTGCAAGACCAGACTTCCTTCTTTGCTGATATTGGTGAAGGCCCGGCTGTGCAGGATGGAGACACAACAACATGTAAAGACATCATTGAGGAAGCGAAGGATGGTTTGATCCCTTTGGCAGCGTGTGTCAAAATGTCACAAGGCTTTCAAGAGGTGCTGGACGAACAGGTTGCAGTCCTCTTGGCAGGCTGGGGTGTAAACAAAGGGTTTTTAAGAAGCATACCAAGAGTCCTAGGTCATCTACACACAACTCCCAGGTCATTCATGCACTGTTTTGGTTCAAAACCGAGATTCTTTCAAATCTCCAGGCCCTATGAAATTGCCAAAGAAAGCGAATATGACAAGGCAGTTTGTGAGCCGCCTGGTGATGGGGCCTGCCAGCATGCATTCCCTGGACTTGATCAACGATGAGCTAGACGGTACTGGCTTACAAGTTTGGGGGCTAGTTGTGCAGGAAGAGAGCTTAGTGGATTTGGAAGCCTTCAAGAAGAGATTGAATCTTTCAGCGGACTGCTATGACGGCATCATGAAGCGCGAAGCTCCGCTAGACTTGTCTGCAGGATCTCAATGGTTGACATCAGGGTTTTTGAACTTTGGTAGTGCTGAGGCGGGCGATTGATTTGTTTTTAATCATGCGCACCAGGGGTGGTGACGCAGGAGTTGTGCGCACTGTGTTTGGCCTGTGAGGTGTGAGTGGTGCTTAGCGGTAAATTTGCAAAACTTATGATACTTATGAGTCGATTCCGGTATTTACCACATCTGTTTGAATCTTGCACACCAGTGGTGGTGACGTAGGAGTTGTGCGTGTGCTGTGTTTCCCTGTGAGGTGCGAGTGATGTCGAGAGGTAAACTTGCAAAACTTAAGAGTGGATTCCGGTATTTGCCAGATGATAAGATTCTTGGCTGACACAGCTTCCGCCCACCCACAAGTCCTAAGTCATAGGTGTCCCTATATGATCCTATATGCATTGTGTATATATATAATTATATATGTCAACAAATGTGATTTAAATCGAATTCAAATATTGTTAAGTCATGAATTGCCTCATCACGACCCCCAAAGATCCCAAAGTTAATTCATTTTGGCTGTGATTTAAGGAAAGGTGCAAAACGATCCACAAAAGAGATAGCAGAGCTACCCGGGCAAGCCGTTGCCAAACGGTTTTGCGCATCAGAAGCCACAGTGCAGGAAGCCTTGCGAGATGCAAAGGAGAACTCTGAAAAAGGCCAGGGGTGAAGGAAAAACAAGAAATAAGACGGTATGTTTCTTTACCAAGGGTCGGTGACGTAGGAGTAGTAGGTGCCAGTGTACATAGACCATGCTTAAGCAAAACGCATGCATGTCAGGAGAGCAAGCTCGCGCCCGTATAGATCAGCAGGTCATCGCTCATTGCACTTCCATTGCCGAGTTGAAAGCTTTGGCAGAGTGTTGGGAAACGCTCACAAGCAAGATGCTGACTACTGCGCACTTTATGTCTCAAGAGCCCATGACTGTCTTTGAGGTTGGGAAAAAACTTGAACTACATGATTCAGGTTTCCGGGATGTCTTTGCAGCTCTGGCAGTAGCAGTAGCTGAGGCCGAGGGGAAGGGCACAAGCACAAGCTCAAACTCCCGTTCCAAGTCATCTGAATCTTTGTCGGAGAGCACCGAAGAGTGGCTGGCGGAGAAGCATTCGGTGCACGAGATTCTCAAGCAGGCATTTTTTCTGCAGAAGGCAAATCTTGACGAGTTGGCCAAAGTGGAAAACAAGCACAAAAAGTCTCAAAAGGAATACCAAAGGCTGCAGCGAGCAAACGCTACCAGGAAAGAGAACACAGAGAAGTCGTTGAGGAAATGTTTTCCTTGGAGCCTGATCCAGAAGCAAGAGCCACGCATCTGTCCAAAAGGAATTGCGTGAACCGTTTGAGCAAGAAGATCAAGAAGGTGAGGAAAGAGAGAGCGACCGATACAACCGTGATGGAGGAGGCAGGGGCATTACTCCTGTGTCATACGCTTCGCGTGCAACTGACAACACATACACACTATATCGTCTTTTCAATTATATAATCTGGTGATGCGAGTGATGCGCATGATGCTGATAATGTTGTCTTCTATTTTTATATAATCACTTCAATTGCTCTTAAAACATGTTGATCGTATCCGTTTTGATCCGACTCCTGTAAGTTTCAACTCAAGTACTTTCAAAAGTTAGAATGTCCTTACAACTCCTAACTCTTCTTGCATTGGCTGCCAAA